GCGGCAACTTCATGTTGGGGTGAGTGAGGATGAACTCGCCGAGCGAGTTCTCGAGTGTGAAGCCGTTGACACCGCCACCGCGCATTGTGATCACCAGCTGCGCTGAGGCGCCGTACATGGTGAAGCCGGACGCCACCAAGCTGGTACCCGGGTGGAGCAGGTCCTCTGGGCCGACGGTCTTGTTGGGACCCAGTACCTCATCGGGAAGCTGGAAAATACCGAAGATGGTGCCGACAGACACACCGGCATCCAGGTTGGAGGAACCGTCGATGGGGTCACAGACGACGGCATAACGAGCATCGGGGTGCTCGTCGAACCTGATCACTTCCTCTTCTTCTTCTGAGACGACAATGCGGCACTTGCCGGAGCCGCGCATGGCGGAGATGAAGATGTCGTTGCCAATCACGTCCAGCTTCTTCTGGTCATCACCGGTTATGTTTGAGGAACCGGCGAGTCCGGTAAGGTTGATCAAGGATGCACGACGAATGTAGTAGGCAATTGACTTGAAGGAGAATTGGAGGGCATGGCACAGGAGGGTGAAATCACCCGAGGCTTCAGGGTGCTTGATCTGTTCTTCTGTGAAGAAGCGGGAAAGTGTGACGATATCAGTGTTGATGTTCTCCGCTCCGACGGGGGGTCCTGAAGCCATTTTTGAGGTATTTGAAGTATATAAGGTAGGTAAAAGATTAAAATGTATCAATTGAGTTTCAAATGAAGATTTAAGTAGTAAAAGCGACAAGGTCGAAACAAGGCAGAGTAAGAAAAGTAGTTCAACGTCAGTGAGGGGGGATTAAACCGGATAGAAGTATGGGGGAGAAGAGGTGACCTCAGTGTGGTCCCGGGCTTTCGTTTTCGTCATTTGCCCCGCGTGACCTTCCCGGGCCTCGCCCGGTTTCCCCCCTTGCCGGGAATGCCCGTCTCTTAACTATAGAACTTCCTATCAATGATCGACTATTATTGTTGATCGCTGCAAAAAAATTAACATTCTAGCTATATTGCCCTATACTTTTTCCTATTAGCTATACGCTCATACCAACATGTCCAACCTAATCGAAGATACGTTGTCCAATGGTCTAGATCCTCCCGGTCTGTCCCTTGAGATTCGGCCTCGGGATCAGCAACGGAAGAATGAATTCCCTATACCCCACTCGTAGTCATGCGCACTTGAAAAGTTCCTGAGATTTAGGTAATGCCATTGGTGTACCTAATTAAAGATGGCTATCTACCCCTAAAAATGATAGTTCGGTGTATGGATCTACAATGGAACACAGGGATCGGTACGAGATAGATAATGTATAATTCTAGACCCTTTACAATACAAAAAGGAAACAAGTGAGTCCTGTGACTTGTAGAAAAGAAAGAACACTAGTCCACGGGGTCCTCCTCCAACAGGGTCTTGAAGCTAAAGGGCAGGAAAGGAATACCCTCGCCGACGAAATGCTTGCTCATCGCCTCAACCCAGTGAAGACGAAGAGAGTGCAACATGGCACTGGTACCTTCCATCACACACAGAATGCAAATCGTGAGTACGAACCAGAGATAGAAGCTGACAACGGTCATGATAACACGGGTCACGGGGCTCTCCTGGTTAAACGCACTACCAATAGTCATGGTCCAGAGAACGATTGAGAGCTGCTGGTGAGCAAGCGACAGAGCCCACAGACGAAGGTAAGAGGCCGTGTGAGAGATACAGTTGAGACAGAATTCGATGGTGTGGATGACTTGGTGGATCATGATGTCGCCAAAGTCGAACTCCTCATGCTCTTCACCTTCATTGATGTCCTGGGAAAGCATGGCCACGCCTTCTCCATCGCTAGCCATACTGTCACGACCCAGTCCACCGTCCATATCACCATCGGCGTCAAGTGCGCTTACTCGGGAGTTCTCGCCGAGGCCACGGTAACCCAGGGCACGAGCACGGTTGTGCTCATAGCGGAGCCAGAATGGCTTGAGGAAGAGCATGATAGGTACCTGGGCGACAGCGATAAGAAGCAAGAGAATCTGGACCAAGCTCTGGCCAGGATAGAGTTGTTCTTCCACCGTACCAGGGCTCAGGAACATGAAAATGAGCATGTTAAGGAGACCGGGAGGGTTCACTCCCTTCTCCTGCCAGTTCACGCTCCACTTGTAGAGTATAGTGAGGACAAGATAACCAAAGATCGACTGGAAGAAGAGCAATCCAGGAACAAAGTTGCCCCAGATGTCAACTTTAGACTTAAAGTGCCGTCCATTGACGTACTGCAAGCAAAGGGCATAGGTCATGTGGCACCATCCAAGGAGAACACTCATCTTCATCTTCATACTGTTTGAAAAGAGTAAAGAATTTTCTGCCTCATGCCAGTTCCAGTCCAGACCAATTGGATAACGATAGCCTTCTTTCAATGTCGCCTCGACCATTTGGCCGCGCTTGATGTCATCGGGCCATTGCCACTGACTGGGGAATATGGTGAAAGATTTAGAGAAAATATCGTTGTAAATGAAACCGGTGTAGATCGAGAACAGACCCATCATCAACATGATGTATCGCCCATAGAATGCCATGTATGTCAGTTCATCCAATTTAGTCCGAGCCAACTTCTTTTCCCAGAAAATCATAGCAGAAGCGGCCAAGGTCATAAGTGCACCGTGACCACAATCACCAAACATGACTGCGAACAAGAAGGGGAAAGTGACGACCGTGTACAGGCCAGGATTGACTTCCGAATACTTGGGGATACCGTAAGCATTCACAATCGTTTGGAATCCTTCGGTGAACTTGTTCGTCCTGACAAAAGTCGGAGGGGTCTTGTTGGTTCGGATCTGGTTGACAATTGTAGGAACAGTGAGACCAGCACGGTCATTAACATCCTGAAGAGTCGACTTAATCAGAGCAAGAGAGTTTGTTGGGCACCACGCCTCGGCAATCAGCGTCTTCCGAGCTTGATCGTATGAAAATTTGTTCAAGGTATCATAAACGGCCTTTTCCTTCTTGACAATGATCATCCACGCCGCTAGCGAGCGAGCAATTTGCGAAAGTTCCGCGTCAAGGGTGCTCTTGGTGTTACGGAGCACATTGCCAACATCGCCGAGGCGGGTGTTCACTTCGTGAATCTGGTCTCTTCTCAACTCACTGTTCTCATCGACACCGTACAAGGATGCGTTGAGAGACTCCGAAATCTTTCGAATCTTGGCAAGGATGTTCTTGCCGTGAGCGAAGATGACGAAAACGTTCTTGTGGACTTCCTCGTTGGTCATCGGGTCGATGATGGGCTCCGGGATCTCAGACTGGTTCATGTAAAGGTTTCCGCGCAGGGTACGCCAGAGAATACGTTCAAAGGCACCAATGCGATCACGGGGGATAACACCAGCAACGAATCCAATGTTCATTTCCGAGAAGCTCTGCTGACCCTGGGTGTCTCCATTTTGACGAGGGGCGTGGTGCTCAACATCGCGGAGCAAGGGAGCTTCATCGTTATCTAGGGACTGGCGAATGTCTTCTGTTTGTGTATGGGCCTATTTAGTTAGCCTCGTCTGTCAACGGCGGTATACCCTAAGCCACCTACCCGATCGAAGAATCCACCGGCCTCTCTAAGTACCCATCGCCATTCGCTCAGTTCGACTTCGCGTTTCTTCAAAGTCTCGTAGCTATCGTTGAGAGAGATGATCCGCTGTTCAAGGCTCTCGCTGCGATCAGCCAACTCATCGATCTCTGACGCTAAAGGGGCAGCCAATGTATCGGAGAAGTCCGATGAAGACCTCATGGGGATTGCAGCCTTGTCCATTTGTTGGTGGAAATAGCGTAGCTGTCTTTCGACATTGTCCAGACGACGGATTTCCTTTGTAAAGGTTCTTTGGAAAGCGTTCGTGTCCGGGTTAAGCTAGAAGAAGTCAGCGGGGAGTATCAAAGCAAATAGTCCTTGGTCACTTACATCTCGGAACTGAACCTGACCAACTTCACCTAAAGCACTAACAACCTCTCTTCCGATCTCGTTGGCAATGTAGAGCTGGGTCAAGCTCATATCCGCCGAGCGGAAGAAGGTGTCCCGCGGAGCCATGGTGTAAGGAGGCTACCAGGAGCCGTGTCTTTTGGTAAGAAGACAGAGAAAAGAAGAAATGTAAAGAGCGACAATAGATAGATATATTCAATGAGAGGCACGGATCCTCCAGATTTCGACTCTTTGTTGCAGATAGTCTAGTCCGGACTCTACTTGGACTGTTCTCGGGTGGCTCTGTCAAGCTGGCTGCATCCAGCCACGTGATTTTGGTTTCACGTGATGTCATAAGACGACGACTTAAACACAGTGTCTTCTCCTAAGATGTAGTTTCTATAACCTCAACTATTTTTGTTCTTGTTCAATATCCTTGTTAGTGGCAGTGGCCTCATTAGCTCTTGAGATTTGGGCGTTTCCAAGACTGCCGAGTAGCCATATCTTTCATAGGATGGAATCGCTGTTAGTCTCTTTATGTAGTGAATTATATACATCGGATGGAAAAATTACACAGTGCGGGCGCCTACCTAGGTATGTTTTCGATTTTTTTTTTGCTACATATATTGGACACAATGACGTGTTATACATAGCAGAGTCATTTTTACCGCCCATCTTCTAAAATTTGAGGCCAATTCTTCTTGTCCTTCTAGCTATAACACTAATAAAGTGAATGAATATATAGGAAAACATATACAAAGACATCCAAGCAGGTTATTAAAAGGTCATCATAGGAACGCATGAGCAGCCAATTAGTCTTGTATACTATGTATCACTAAACCAATATGCAATCGAGGTGTTGAGTATCATGGTTACTGTCAAGGTCTACATAGCTGGTTGTACTTTCTTATGTCAAACGGTTGCAATGTCATCTATGAGGTCTTTTAATCGAATATTGGTCGTTTGATTCCGTATAATAGGTTGAATTTCTCATTATAAAACAAGATAACTAGATAAAATTCCAACAAAATGTTTACCCATGGACCCTCGAATGTCAGATATCACCGAGTAAATTTGCTCCATGGCTCCGCTATACTATCGAGTGGGATGTTCTAGCTCAAAAAGCGCAACCACGTCACCCTCGATCGGCTGCTCGTGGTAGATACTAAACCCAGTCCTCTGTAGCACCTTCACGCTACCAATATTCGCTCTATTGCACGCCGCGAACAGCTTCTCCTTTTCTAAATCTTGTACAGCCCCCTCGAATCCTATTCTATGAAGCTTCCACCATGCATCTATAATACCAGCAACAGCCTCGGTGGCATAGCCCTTACCCCAGAAGTCAGGATGGATATTGTACCCAACTGACGGGGCTGGGCTAAGAGAATTGATTCCCGCTCCTCCAATGACCCTCTGGGATGGATCATCGGAGCGGATGATGGCAAAGAAAAACTTCCGCCCAACAGCACCTGACGCATCCGGTGTTGTAAATGTCTTTTTGGCAATGAGGGCTTCGGACTCTGATATGTCTTTGTGGGGGACTCTGGGCCAGCTACAGACAGTCACAAGTCAGCGTCTAGTTCGGGATCTTGCGGCATTTAACCCTGGGTATAATCTTACAGCCAGTCGGCCACCTCTTGTCGGCGTCGGATCTCAAAGATGGCTGCGGCATCAGCCACCGTCAGTGGCCGTAAATACAGCCGACTTGTGTGGATAGGCTCCAAATCGGCCGGAACGATCACAGATGTAGTTTGGTTGAGGTAGAAGCTCATTTTGACGAGGTATGTGTTTGGAATTGTGTGTGTTGTATAGGAAAAAGACAAATATATATCCCTACAATTATCCTCTTCGCACTATCTGCTCCAAATATCAGCAATTAGATTAGTGTAGAGAAATGTTGTATAATCATATATCTGGTCGCTTTGACCTACAATACCAACATAATTTCGCGTCGAAGTAAGCAGCTAACGTATTTTGCATGAGTCATAGTTGCGGATTTGTTAACCGTGAAAAGCACCTCCCCTGTGCTAGGCCCCACTATATTCAAAAACGTCACTACTCAAAATCTACAAATTAGGTACTTATCTTTATATGAGTTCAAGGAGATACGTTGGGTGCTTGACACGGTCACTCCCCGGCCTGAATCCGGACTCTGCAATAAGTAGGTTCATTTGTCTCGTAGACACTAGCGACATAGCCATACAATATATAGGGATGCAACACCATAAGATGGTGAATTCTCGTTGTTTGAACAAAATTCGATAGAAATATAGACTGACATCGGAGGTCGACGCATCTCTTAGCCCCTTCGAAGCTCAACACAGTGTCGCTTCATGATTAGGGAGCTTTGGAAATTGAAACAAACTGTTTGGAGATTGATAATTACACTCGTATATATAGTCGTAAGGGGAAAAAAAGAAAACCCAACCCCACCATCATCGGTAGATACCAGCTCGTATCCACTGGAGTCGACGAGCACAGAGGAACAAGCATGTTCAACTGTACACTGGTACTGGCTTAGGCGCCGCCATCCCTCTTCGCGTATTCCTCCTCCATCCGCTCCTCGTACAGACGATCAGCCTCCTCCTTGGTCAGAGCGCGACCACTGTCAGCATTCTGCAACACACTGGTCGAACTGCCAGGCGTGGTCCCGAAATAGCTGTTGTTGTTTCTCTGGTCGGTGGAAGTGTGTGAAGCAGAGCTGGGAGGCTGTGTCGAGTTGGCTTCGTTTTGTTGCTTGTCAAAGAGATCGGCGGTGGGGACGGGCATTTTGGTTGAGGTTGTGGTTTTGGGTTGCAAAGTAGTAGAGGAAATTAGGTTGAAGGAAGCAATTATGGTAGACTGGAATTCGAGCAGTTGCGATTTTGAAGTTAGCAAATACACGGAGGATTGATTTTATGCTGGCAAGTTAGCTTGTGCTTTGTCGCCACATGTGGTGGCGAAGCCACTCCAACGTTGGGTCCGACGTCATGTCAACAAAACGGGCCCAGGAAGTGAGAGACCAGCCAAACTAGAATTGACAGTAGAGAGAGAGAACTACTCCGTACGGAGTGAGCGCTGTAGAATAAACACTAGGTGAATATGCTGTCTATCACTTACTGATCAAAAAAGCCGACAGCTGTTGATAGCGTCAAGGGGCCAGTGGACGTGACACAATAGACGCTCACATGGCTGCGACTCGAGGAGACGGATCTCGGCGTGACTGACTGGAGGATAATGGGAGGCGATTACGACTAGAGAGTTTACAAGCTACATCTCTTCTCCAACCTCGAGCCACTGGCTCGAAACTTGATGAAAAGAAAGAGTTCCACGAATGGAGAGTGCCAAAGAATACGCCTGTCAATGACCCGAAGGCCGTTGAACAGCCTGTTCCTCCGCGCTGTGCAATGCAGGGACCAAACTGTGGTGAACCGCCTTAATGATCGCAGTCACCCAAACAAGGTAAGTATGAAGAAGAAAGAAAAAGAAGAGGAAGAGACGAGGGAGCTGCGGGTATTTATACAAACATAAAGGCGGTGGCAGAACTGGGCGAATTTGCTGGCGACCTTTTATTGGCTAGTAAGCGAAACCACGTGATATATGCCAAGACTCAACCTTGGAGCTGCATGTGATATGACTCATCCACCCCTCCCCTTTTTTTAGGATATTTCTGACCTGTCAGGATGAGGGATGGCCATATGGGGTACTCCGAATGTACATCGCAGAATGTACATACAGGATACAGGTACCTTGCATTTATTTCCTAGGTTTCTACATGTTTGTGCCAGTCACAGAACGAGCATCTTGAACACACAGATCACAGGGAATCAATAATTGAAAATTCCCTGTTCTCAACTCGACGCCTCAAAAACAAGCCAGGCTCCATACACGAGCTTGTGTGGATCCTCCCCTATTCCACAACTTTGTATTGTGGCTCTCACCTCCCGTGCGACCCAAAACGCGAAAGATGTTTGAATCACAACTTGATTCGGATACTGTCCGTCGGAAGTTTACCTTCAGAATGTTCTACAAGATTAAATCGGGTGAAGAGTCCACAGTTAATATCAAGCTAATATTAAGCAAATGACCATCCTCATCAAAGTGTGCCATGGTTAAGCCGATCTAGTGGACGCTAGAGTTGTCGGGGAGCATCGGAGAGCTTAGATGGACGGGAAACCCGTCCCCTGTGTACACCGCAGGTCAAGTTGGTACTTGGCATGAAGTATTAAGATTAATTTACTTGTAATTCAATCGGGAGATATGTTTTATCTCGAAAGTAAAGGACCTGTGTGGACCTAACTGTAGCCCTGCTGTTGTGACACGATATTTTTTTTTTCTTTTTTTTCCTGCTCAAAACTCGTTAGTTATCTGCACCATGTCGAGGTATGGAGTGGAACAATGCTGCTACGATGTGTATATTGTCTGTTGTACTCCGTACTCCGTAGTCGATGGGGCAATATGCATAGCGAAAAAGCGGGAAAGAATCCCTAGGCGGGCTCCGCTTCGCATGGCACTTGCATGGTGTCAAAATTTAGCCCATATAGCGAGAGAGGAGGAAAGATCAACAAGCCAGACTTGGAACGATGATGCGATCGGCGATGGTCGGTGATTTCTAACCATTCATATGATGCAGCAGGAGCAGGGTCGCGACCGCAAAAAAGGGCCAAGACGGCAGGGTTGGTATGGAGCACTCCGTCTATGAATGGTCCTTAGTAGCCCTGGAGGCCCTAACGGATGAAAAAGGGACCCATGATAGGGTGTAATGGGTTCCCGAGCAGGGGGTGGATTCCCCCGAGTGGCTATCATTACTGGAAATGCCTGGATGGAGCGTTGAGACCTCATGGAGCTTGTCCTGATGGTAGTAGACCAGTCATACAACGTATCCCTGATATAAAATGGTGTCATAGTACTCCGTATATTGTAGAGAAAAAGAACAACGTATCCCTGATATAAAATGGTGTCATAGTACTCCGTATATTGTAGAGAAAAAGAACAGTGTAAAACCTATTACTCTTCTCAGGTTAGGCCTTCCTATCTAGATGAACCGTGGAAATGTCAAATAGAGTGCTCTGATTCAGGTGTAGGTAGGGCTGGCCAGCCCCCTATTCGCTAAGACTAAGACTCGAAACTAAATGTATAGTCAAGTGGGGACGTAGTCCGTACTTTTTTTTTTTATACTATCACTGATAAATCTAGAATTTTCTGTAGCGTTGGAAAGGAAAGAAAAGGGGCTTTATTTTCCTAGCCTGTGGATCTGCTTCTAGTTTCAAATATGTTCTTGTGTACTCCGTAGTCTGTACAATATGTAGTATACTTCGTACTCCATTAGAAGTATGAGATGATCTTCGTCTGGAATGATGCACAGATCACGTAAAGAGGCGACACTTTGTAGATGTGCTGGGATTGGCTAGATAAAGACATCATGGGATCCCCGACATCTTGCCGCTGTGTGGTAAAGATAGTCGATACGCCGATAGGACGCAGATCAAAGTCAGAGCCAGGAAGGAGGGGTTGTATCACAGCTGGTTGGTTGTCCACGAGGGTTTTCACGCCACTCCATCATAGAGTTGATATCAGGTCATGGGGTCTGAGTAAAGATTGCACCAAAAAGTCGCGATGGCCAACCATTCTGCAGGACCTAAAGATGGGTGCATGGCCGTGGTAACCAATACCAGCCTTAAGCCACCTTAAGCCATACGGATGAATGCGACAAAGCTCATATGTATGTACTTTAGTACTCCGTACTGAGCTGATCATGACGAAGGATGCAAAAATAACGGGCTGCCTTGTGTAGTGGGGGGAACATGGAGTACCACAGGGATGACCCCTCCAAAGGGATATTCTTGTGCTCTTTACCGATATGGCTATTCCGAAGAATGGGAGAGCCTACAAGCTCGGATGTCGACTACAAAGTATGGAGAGTAATACGAAAGAGCCATAAAAAAAAACGCTCAGTTCATTTGATAATGAATATAAATCACAGTAATTCTGATGGCAACTTTCCCCCCCTTGAACTGTGTAACGAGAGTTGAAAGTGTGGAATGAGGAGTATCAACGGTGGCCCACCGAACAATGATAGAACCTCCTTACGGGACCAGGAAGTATGAAAATTGTTGAGTTATACTTTTTTGACAGTCTGATGACCTACTATCCAATATAACCCCGCCATGACGATATGTATATTTTAATTGTATACAATAAAACAAAAAGAAGTGTTGAACGTCAAATCGGTAAGAGTATCCGAACGGGTAAATTAGGAGAGACCGTTGATTCAAGCTGCATGGCCGATCATAGCATGGTGTGATGGTTTGGCCAAGATGCAGAGTTTTCTCCTATTTTCTACTAAATTCAGTTCAGGTCTAGCGTATTGCTAGACAAAGAAGTTCGTGTTATTTTACGAATGTCCTTCGTAACCCGTAGATGGCAAAAGGTTATGTTCCACCAACCTTGGAAGTTATAAAACCATATTCCAGGTTACATATTAAACTTGTTAAAAAAAAAGGGAGAATAGTTAGAAAATCAATTTGAAATTAAGAGAAATAAAATAAGAAAGTAATAAGGAAAATAATAACAAAAAATAATAAGAAAAAAAAGGAAAGAAAAAAAAGAAAAAAAAAAGAAAAAAAAAGAAAAATAATTAACCCCTGAAGTAGTATTAGCTAATCTCGGTGGATCCACTAAGCTCTGGGCTCCCTGCAGGTCCTTTCCATTTTTGGGCCATCAACAACCTGACTCTTTTTTTCTTTTCCCTTCCTCTCTTTCCTTCTTTCTCCCACAAAGCAAAAATATACCCTGATACGTGATACCCGAGCTCTCGTGCTCTAATTCCTTTGCTTTTCTTTTTGAGATACCCTATACCCAACTTTTTATTCCCCTAAGCTCTGCTTCTTTAATACCCAGTTACTTTAATCATGTCCGAAGTTCAGAAGACTGTTGAGGAGACCCCCGCGGTTGTCCCTGCCGTCGAGACTGCCGTTGAGACTCCTGCTGAGGCCGTTGAGGCTCCCAAGGAGACCTCTGAGGAGCCCACTGCTACTCCCGCCGTGGAGAGCACCGAGGCTGCTGAGCCTGCCAAGGAGGAGGTGAAGCCCGCTACTGACGGTGTCCTGGGCTACAAGGCCCCTGGTCTGGTCAAGTAAGTTGAGACGGAGATCACAAAAACGGCGCATAGATTAACGGGGATGCTTTTTCTAGGGGCTTCCGCTTTGCCAAGCGCTTCTTCTACTTCAACGAGGAGGCAGTGGAGAGCAAGAACCTTTCCATCTTCAACCAGAACGAGAAGGCCGCTGTCGCCAACCCCACCGCCGCCTGGGCCACCCAGACCGGCAAGGGTCTGCTTTTCTTCACCAAGCGCGCTGAGGACAAGGCCACCCCCGCTGGCATTTTGAACCTCGTAAGTGCTTGAGTCACTGTCACACGATATGATAACGACTAACATGTTCAATAGGCCGATGTCTCTGACGTCACCAAGGAGGGTACCAGCGAGTTCCTCTTCAAGATTGCTGGTCACAAGCACACCTTCCAGGCCTCCAGCGCCGCTGAGCGTGACAGCTGGGTTGTTGCCATCGAGGCTCAGGCCACTGAGGCCAAGGCCGAGAAGGAGACCATCACCTCCAGCGAGGGTTACAAGGCTGAGCTCGAGAAGCTGACCAAGCCTGCCGTCGTTGTTGCCGCCAAGAAGCCCGAGGAGAAGAAGGTCGAGGACAAGAAGGAGGAGGCCCCCGTTGTGGCTGCCGAGGCCGCCCAGGAGGAGCCCAAGGAGGAGAAGAAGGAGGAGAAGACCGCCTCCAAGAGCCGTTCCCAGTCCCGCAAGCGCACTAGCATCTTCGGTTCCCTCCTAGGCAAGAAGGACGCCGAGGAGAAGAAGGCCGAGGAGAAGAAGGCCGAGGAGAAGAAGGAAGAGACTCCCGCTGCTGAGGAGACCAAGGCTGTTGAGGCTACTGCCGAGCCCTCCGTCGAGGCTGCTGCCCCCGCCGTTGCCGAGACCACCGAGACTGCTGCTCCCGCTGAGGAGGCCAAGGCTGTTGAGGCTACTGCCGAGACCCCTGCTGAGACTACCGAAGCCGCCAAGGAGGAGGCCAAGGATGAGAAGAAGGCCGAGAAGAAGGCCAAGCGTACTTCCATCTTCGGTAACTTCTTCCAGAAGGTTGCCAGCCCCTCCCAGGAGAAGTCCGAGAAGGAGGCCACTGCTCCCGCTGTTGAGGAGACTCCTGTCGCCAGCACCGCTCCCCAGCTTGAGAACCCCGTTGAGGAGGCCGCTGTCAAGCCCATCGAACCCGAGGCTGTGACTGCCGCCGCCGAGGCTGTCGAGACCCCCGCTGCTGAGACTCCCGCCGAGGCCGTCTCCACCCCCAAGGAGAAGCGCCGCACTTCGTTCTTCGGCAACCTTGGCATGAAGAAGGAGAAGAAGGCTGACTCTGACAACGAGGTCACTGATGGTGAGACCAAGGCCAAGTCCAACAAGCTCGGCGGTCTTTTCCGCAAGCCCAGCAAGGCTGTCAAGCTCGACAAGGAGGAGGTTGCCGCCGCTGAGACCGAGGCCAAGGCTGATGCCGCCGAGGAGGCCCCTGCCGTCCCCGCCAAGGAGACTGCTACTGAGGAGACCCCTGCTGTCGTTGAGGAGACCCCCAAGGCCGTCGAGACTGCCCAGGACCCCAAGAACGTTAACGTTGCTGTTGCCACCCCCGTTCAGGCTACCGCATGAAGTGCGACTCCTCGGAGACCTGTCGTGGAGTTTGAACGGTGGTGGGACATGTCCTATCCACCGCCCGCCCGCGATATCCCTGACGGTCTAATCGAGACCTGAAGGTGCAATTTTGATACCACTGCGCTCCAGTTTTGCTTTTCCCTCGCCACTGTCGCTGTCTTCGGTACCCAATGGCCTTCCTTATTTTGGGCCTGGATCCGAGATGGCGGCAATGAGATACCCGCTGTCGCTTTTTTCCCTTAATCTGCTTTTCTCTAAAAAATAATACCATCGGCGCCAACGACGCCAGCAGCCCTTTGGACTGCGGTTCATTCCTTCACGACCTGCGTCTCGCGACTGTGACTCCATTCGCGACTCGATTATGCGTTACGTGGTGTGTCGTCCGACTAGATTGATACCACTCTGCCGTGTTTTTCTGGTTTCTTTCTTGGTTTTCTGTTTGATACCCTGTGGGGAGGATGGGTGCTCTTTTTGCTTGTTGCTTGAGTTTTGAATCTCGTCTGTTGACTTGTTACTTCCTGCAACTCAAATTGGCCCTCTAATTTTGTCTACCGTTGTTGTCCCGAACGGTTGGTTTATATTCCACCGGTGGAGGTGGCACACCTTGCGATAGGTAATACTTAATAGAATCTCTCAGTTTTTGCTTTACATCTGTGTCAACTGTATTATATGTAGACTTAATTCCATCAACGGACTAGGGTGGGTAGGTTAGAATCATTGCGGGCGTGCCGGCATATAAAATAGACCTCTCACATGTGTAGGTACTAGCTCCTAAAACAGACCCTCGGAGTTGGTCCATCCCGAGGTCGTCCACAAGTGTAGATAGTGTATGATAATGCCAACCCCCTTCTACTCATCCCGAGGTTTCTTTCTTTCCTTATTCCAGAGAGTCCCATACAATGGCGACCTCAACCATGACAGAGGTCATTTCCCTCGAACAGCAACAGCAAAATCAACCGCCTACGGGATCGGAACGAATAATTGAGTCTCTTAACATCGAATCTACCCAAGACAGAGAACCCAACTATCCAACCGGCAGCAAATTTTGGTTCACAATCACCTCACTATGCGTGGTCCTTATTCTCGGAGGATTAGACGCCAACATCGTCGCCACAGCCGTGCCGAGCATCACTAACCACTTCCACACTGTTGCCGACGTGGGATGGTACTCGTCTGCATTTCGACTGTGCACCTGCGCATTCCAATTTGGGTTCGCGAAGCTTTATAAGCTCTTCTCAATCAAGACGATCTTCTTGATAACCAATGTGATCTTCCTCGTCGGCTCTTTGCTTTGTGCTACGGCTGCTACGTCGACTATGTTCATTGTAGGGAGAGCAGTCGCAGGTCTAGGATTCGCGGGTGAGATGGCTGGGTGTTTTGCAGTTGTGGTGCACATTATGCCACTCAGCAGACGCCCAGTGTTTGCGGGTTTGATGGCGTGTGTGGAATCGCTTGCGATCATTGCGGCGCCTATAGTAGGTGGTGCATTGACACAGTCTTTGGGTTGGAGATGGTGTTTCTGGTAATTTTTTCTAGTTACGGATATTGATCAAGGTAGCTTAACACTAACTTTTTTGTAGGATCAACCTTCCAATTGGCATTCTATCGCTAGTGACCATGTTTTTCCTCTTCTCAGACCCAAGAACCCGTCAAGAGGACGACCTGACACTGAGTCAGAAAATCATAGAGCTGGACCTCGTTAGCAACTGCTTGTTCATCCCATCCCTAACGGCACTCTTTGTCGCGCTGTCTTGGGCGGGAACAAAGTATCCCTGGTCAGATGGGAAAGTGATTGCATTGTTCGTTGTATTTGGTGTGCTACTCGCCGCTTTTGTATTCAATCAATATCGACGAGGAGAATCGGCAGCACTCCCTTTCCGTATCATCAGAAGCCGAAGTGTCATCGCCGGCTTCATCTTCACGACGTGCACCAATTCGATGACGAATGTCTTGGAGTGGTACTTGCCAACATACTATCAAGTTGTTCGATCTAGGGTATGTCTTTATAACCAATTCCTGACTCTAAGAAAACGCACTAACAATACTCTATCCTGCCAGTCCCCAAGCGAGAGCGGGTATCTAATGATCCCCATCCTCGTTGGTATGATGCTCGGGCTCTTTCTCCAGGGCATCGGCACCACCACGTTTGGCTATTATGCCCCCTTTATGATCTTCGGCTCCGTGTGCATGCCAATTGCCGCGGGCTTGATGACAACATACGATCTCCACACATCCCTAACCAAGATAATCCTCTATTCCGGATTCGTAGGCTTCAGTGGAGGCATCGGCTTCCAAGCTCCCCAAGCGGCTGTTCAGACAACTTTGAGTGCAGCAGATGTCAACCTTGGAATCGGGGTCATCTTGTTCGGGCAGAGTATGGGCCCAGCGGTGTTTATCGCTATTGCGCAGGTGATATTCACGAATCAGCTGTCATCAAATTTGGCAGACGTTGTACCAGGATTGACACCTGCGTCTATTGAAGAGCACGGACTTGGCGATATTAAGAATGGGGTTCCTATGCAGCGGTGGGACGAGGTCTTGGGTGGTATTGATCGGAGCTTGACCCATACTTGGTACCTTACTATCGCTTTGGCCTGCACGACAATGGTGGGAAGTCTTTTGGTTGAATGGCGCTCGGTTAAGCAGAAGAAGTCGTGAACTTCATGGTATGAAAGGAGCAGAAGCTTAGATAGGAAAGCCCCACCATAGTTGCATACTATATGCAAGCAATACTCGTAGTTGATGATCGACCCCATCGTGATGCGTTGGTTTGAAGTGGATCTTGTATTGCCGTCCCAAAGTCCCTCAGGAAACCACAATTCGGCTAGGCAGGTATGGATGGTGTATTTGGATGCCTGTGATATCGGCCTCTCATACGGCCTCATATTGTGGTTACCTATGTTTAACATTTTGCATTGATTGACGGAAGTCTAGACTTGAAGGTCAAGTATGCTAGGCAATAATGATGACATTTTTTCCAGTCCATCACACGTGTCCGTAGATATCCAGCACCCATTTCGGCGATGCCTCGGCTTTTGATACTACGTCGGCACTTTAAACCCACCCAGACTAAGGGAAAAAAGGTAAAAAGGAAAGAAAAAAGCAGTAAATTGGGTCTGGACTACGGAGAAGTACTCCGTATAACATTGACAGTTGGTCCGCTAACGTTAGTCGAAGTATATAAACGAGATATATCGCATTGAGGGATTTCTTTCCTTGAACCCTTGAAAGTAGTATACATATACATCATTTGAAGAGTATGGTTTACTCCGTACAGCATTCTGTTTACATATAACTTTTAAATAAAATCTTTCAGGAATCAATGATAAAAAGTCAATTTCACGCCCTTCGGTCGGACTAAAAGAAATGGAAGCATTTCATAGGACATGGGCCCATGGACTCAGCCCACCGCGGGGACAGAATTAGGAAAAGATCGGTGGATCCTTTGCATCCTCATCCTCATGGAGAAAGGCTGTACCTCCCCGAGATGTGGAATTGTTAGGAATTGTTAGGAATTGGTTCCTTTAAAAGACCAAGGAAGTTATATATCTTTAAGAGGATGAAGAAAATAATACTAGAGTACTCTGTATTCTCTGGATTGGAAAAAAAAAATTAAAAATTAAAAAATGGAGAAAAAGCAAAAGAAATAAAAAAAAAATTAAAATACCTGGATATTCCCGAGGGATAAGGAAGATGATCGATTATTGGTCAATTTGAAAAGACGCGGAGAGGTTGGTGGAGACAGGTACTTAAAAGATACCTGAACTACGTAGGTAAATGCGGGCAAAAATGTAGGTATCATCATATGTACTGTGGACTCAATGGATGCCTTGTCCAATGTAGCCAATAAGAACCACGGATCACACTTGTGACTCACACCCCGTGACTTTTACGACTAAGCCCCGTGCGGCTCCAGAACTCCGATTGGTCAGCGCCAGGGCACACAGCCCTTAAGAAGTGCCTGAGTTCCCCCTCCCCGTTTGCCTGATTTTCCTTCTTTCTCATACCTGTTTTCTTCACACACATTTCCCCAATATACCAATACAACCGCCATATTGCTACCAGACCAAAACTACACTGAACTTAACTATCGCCAAAATGGGTGCCCAATAAGCTCCCCGTCTTTCAACAACCAGTCTATCTCAACTGAGACAGACATTATTTCTTCAACCGGAACCAACCCTATTATCTCCTCTCTTCCCCCTTCAGAGTCTCCTTTTGGACCTCTGAACTTCAGCATCGCATCGCGTAGCTCGAGTTCTCCCAACAACTTTACCCCGATCGACTTAACGTCGTTCACCACGGATTACCACCAGCAACCATGGCTTCCCTCACCCCCGTCCCAGCCCTTGGCTTCCAATCAGAACAACAACAACAGCAACAACAACAGCAACAACAACAACAACAACAGTGCACTCGAGGACTTTGTGCTTTATCCATCAGCAACACCACACCCGCAGCCCCGCTCGCGTGTGCCCGTGAACACAACCCATAGACCTTCTGCACTTCAGCCATTCCTGGCGCAGAATAACCCTCGACGACACTCCTTCAGTCTGCAGTTGCACCGGCATCTTCAGCAGCAGTTCTCTGGCTCACCTGTTCAAGACCCCAGAGTAACCCAGCTTGCCCGGTCCCCCTCTTATTGGTCCCGTCCCACGTTTACGCACAACCGTCCCACGGCTTCTGTGCCTTCCAATTCTCCAAACACCAACCGCCCTCCTGTCCCACTTTTCAACGGTCAACAAAACCACAAAAACAACACGCAAGCATATAGACGTGTCATGTCCACTCCTAACTTCATGGAAGGTAATTTATCATACGTCTCACTATATCCTAGCGAACATCTCGCTAACTCTACCAAAGCTCACGAGGTTGATCTTTTCGGTCTGCCCCCTACCGGCTTCCCTGGTAGCATGGATTCGCCGCTCTCGTTCAACGATCTCGGCTTGGCCAACGACTTCGCATCTGGTCCTCCAGGCACTATCTCGCCAAAGGACCTCATGATGGATGCGTCTGTTCCTCCCTCTGGAACCTTCACCGACTTGAGCACTCCGTCCTTTGAGTCGCCCGGCAGCTTCAGCCAAAACACCTCACCCATGTTCACCGACATGGATATTGCCGGCCACGAAGAATGGCCCTCCCTCTTCGATCACACGTCAGATCCACTAAATGCCTTTGACTTCGCTACTCTGGATGCCGCAGCTGCCTTCCCTACGGAAGAGAAGAAGAAGCCAGCCTTGCCCATTCCCATGTCTCCTGCCTCCCCTCGCGCAAAGCGATCGATCGCGTCGTCACCTGTTCCCGCCTCCGGTGCTGTTAAGCACTCCAGCGTCGCAGGTGTCAACGCACGATCACGCAAGAACCTGTCGCCTATCGAGTTCGATCCCAATGATCCTGTTGCCGCTAAGCGTGCTCGCAACACTGAGGCTGCACGAAAATCGCGTGCCAAAAAGATGGAACGTCAGTTCACTTCGGAGCGTCGCATTGAGGATCTTCAGAAGATCATCGCCGAGCGTGACGCGGAGATTGCCAAGCTTAAGGCTCAGCTCCAGATTCAAAACACTTACCAGTGATGGTGCTTTCATCCCATCTTGGTCCTAATCTTGAGACATCGGTCTTTGGCTTATGGCCCCATTTGGTGATTCTGACGATTGTAACGATTGGACATTCAAGTCTTGTTTTGTGTTCAAAAATGTTTTTGGTTCCTTTTTGACCCCCCTGGGTATTATGGTAGGCGCGGGTGATGGGTAAAGCCTAACCCTGACGTCTCACCGAGATCAGATGGCCGCGATTTGGTTCGTCTCATCTGATTCTCCTAAAAGTTTGAGACATGTTCCTCAGTTCTGTTTCTTTTTTCTTTGGATCTGACCTTTGTTTCTCTGTTGTTTCTCGTTACCTACTTGATTTTTGATTATTTTTTTTGTTAGGCCGGTTCTGATTGTCTCCCTCTGGGATTGACTCGTGGCTATCTTAATATGGGTTTTTGTTTTTTAAATCAATTATATTGCTTTACACCTTCCAATACTGGTAAACCATGCTCTAGAAGATTTCTTGAATACATAATCATATGTAGCTTCAGTCCCAATCTACAAGCAACCATGCCCTATCTGCATGAAGTAAAGGTGTATAATCTAAGCCAGCTCAGACTTGCCTTTTATACGCCTCATCAACACACCTCGATCCCGCCAGACACCTCCATCTCATACCACCCACACTCACAACCCAACCCCCAATCCCCTCCCTGTACCAACAAGCCAAACAGCACTCCATTCCTCAAAAACGCGCCTCGCCCGCTTCCTTCCAGCATGAGCTACACGCCATCCGAGGACTGCTGTTGCTCTATGGATGAATGGAAGAGACTCGGAAACATTAGGAGAGATGGGGCGTTTGGGGTTCTGGCATGGGTTGGGGATATGAAAAGATAGGTGTGTTTGTGGATGTTGTGTATTGAAATGAAGGTTGAGTTGTTGGGTGAGGTGGAGGTTTCGGAAGTATCTGTTTCCATGTTCTGTCATCATAGCTGGTGGATGAGGAAGTAGTATAGGGGAAGAGTGAAAAGGATGAATCTATAATGGAAAGAAAGAGTAGATGTGTAGGAAGATGTATGGGGGATGCGAAAACACCTCGAAAGACTCGGAAACGAATATCAGAAATTCATCCGCAAGTCCATCTCAGCTTAAAGCATCAGTACCTCTCGACCTGCCCGTCTCCATCTTGGCCGTCCTCGCGCCAAACTGAATAGCCCTCTTCTTCTCACGAGAAACCTTCACCAAGCCCAGTCGCAGAGCAACGAGCCGTAGCGCTAACTTCTCAGAATCAATACCGGCCGTAGCCTCGGTCTCTGGAAGCCCGAACCCGCACTTTTTCCACACTGGAGCGCGTAGCACCCAAGCTACGAATTCCTCGTCTAGGAAGGGGAAACGCGTCTCGCGGCCCCAGTGGGAGAGGACGCGGTCGTCACGGCCGAGATTGCGCGAGCCGAGTCGACTGACGTCCAGGTCGATCTCGGCGATCAGGTCCTTGAATCCTCCTCGGTTGAAGGCTACGCTGTGTCGGCCGTAGCCGGCGAAGAGCTCGTCGGCACCTAGACCAGAGAGGAGGACGCGGGAGGAGGTTGTGTAGATGGGTGATGGAGTGTCTGGGGTTGGGAGTTGGGCTGAGGGGTCTGTTTGAGCTGTGCCTTGGCCGCGGGATGCGAAGTACAAGGCGCATGCGATGGACATGTCCATTTCGGTGTTGTGGGGTCTCATTAGGCGCTTCACTTGGTCCCGGTGTGCGAGAGTTTCTGCGTAGGGGATATCGATGGCGATGAAGCGCCATGTGCGGCCTGGACAGGTTGCTTGGAGTTCGACATGCGCGGACCGGCCAGTTATCCGGTCTGGGCAGTTTTCGTATATGGAGAGGGGTGGTGGTGAGGAAGGGGACTTTTGTTGATTGGCTTTTGCGGCTGCTGCCACTCGGGGATTTTCAAATGCTACGTTGAGGAGGTCGATTGGTTCGTCGAGGGGGAGAATGTCATGAGAGAGTCTAGCGAGAAGTGTGCAGTCTAAACCGCCAGAGAAGAGAACGGCTGTTTTGGCGGTCTGACCTGCAATGTATCCTGGAGGCACGGGGACATTCTGTATTCTCAATTCGAGTGATTGACGCAGTTTTGACTC